GTCGTTGACTTCTTCATGTCTTGCGATTTTACCCTGTGATTTACGACATACCAGACCATGACGACCATATTGGTCTGCCATCGCAGTTCCGCAGATGCACCTATGTTCGGTGAGGATCGGGGCGGCAAGGCGAAGGGCAACTCCAATGCGGAGAGCGTCATGACTGAGGCGAGTTCCCAGGGCTGCATTGGGCACAGCAAATAAAAAATCCCCGGCGTGGGGTGCTGTTACCGCTAGGAGGCGGGCTTTGTTTTCAGCATCAGCGTTGTCAATCATTGCTGTGACAGTCTTTTCCATTATGGGGCTATCCCAGTGGGCCTTCTTGTGGTCTTTTGGGACTTGTGGTCGGGGTTGAGGGTGTGCAATGGTGTCCCATTGTCTGGCTGCTTCGATGAACGTTTGATCATGAGTTCCCGCTGTCTCTCATACGCTCTGGTAGGATCTGCCCTACCAATTCGTTGGCTGCTGTACATGAGGATAAGAATGCTGGAAGTGCTACCTCAGTTGCCTTTCGTATGCCTATCCCTCCAAATCTCACTGGGAGTGTTGCTTGGTCCCACTGACTGTCATCTAAATCTAGGTTGAGCGCCTTCCTGAATATTGACCTGAGGAGCTCATCATATTGATTTAGAAGTGGGTTGCCAAAAGTTGGTGCACACCTTAAGAAGTATGTTAGCCTGGGCAAGGTAAGGCACTTTGTGAGAAGGTAGAGGGCATATGAATGGAAGTATATATAATATATATATATATATATATATATATATGTTGAATATGACCGCAAAGGTAAGATTAATAATTCTAACGAATTTTCACAATATTTATGTTTTTCTTCACTGCCGATGGTAATTGAAACATCAATTCTCCAAAATTCATTTTTATTTATGGTCTGACGCCTAAACGCGTTTCGTAATTTTTATTACATTTTCAAAGACTTAGTTTACACATAAAAATTCATCGTACTTATACTCGTTTTGGGTGAGGTGATACGGCACAAACGTTTTCGGTAAGGTGACAAACCCGAGACAGAACACGAAACAATGGGTATAAATTGGGTATGAAAACATATGAATGGAAGTAACAGCAGAAGACCTATTGGCCCATATCTCCTCTTCCTGCTTGTATGTTGGGAGGGAGGGGAGCCGAGGGGAGTAGTCAGAGAGGCCAGAGAAGGAGCAAGGTCGGGGCCCAATGCAGCGGAGGCTACAGAGCCCGGTCTTCCATCACGGACCGACTCGGGGGTTTGGTCGCCCACCCCACGAGCCTGAGAAGGTAAAGGAGAAACAGTAGAAACAGTATACATCATCGCTACGAAAAAGAAACATTCATTCACGAATGTGCCCCCACACCCACCATGGAGCCACAGTTAGAGGCAGGACACCCAACAAGAAGCTATCGCCGATCTTGCCGGGGCCTCCTAGGGGTGCGTCGTGAGTATACGCCCCACAAACGCCACCTTAAGAAACCGACAGTCCGTCGAGATCGGGTTCAGTGACGAAAGGGGGATTGACAATAAAAGGTTCCCCTCGCTCTCGACGTCGGGTACTACAGTTCTACGGGTGCAAGAGTATGCCTCCTCAAGCACCCGGGCGTCAAAATAGAAGAAGTCCAAAGGAATAACCAAAACAAGCACAAGGTCGGCAGGAAACGGCAAACAGATAGGAGAAGAGGGGGGGGGGGGGGAAACGAAACAGAAGGAAAAGGAAAAGTTGCTCAGCACAATTGGAGAGGACGGCAGCAGGAGCACAAGGCTAGAAAAGGACAGAGGACTGTCCCAAGGAGCATCACACTCCGGCAGCCGCCCACCAAGCCCCCCCCCCCCCCGGCATCAACGAGCAGAGCGGGGAGGGGGGGGGGTGAAGGGCCACGGTATTGAGACCTATTATAGCTGATTTTGAACCCGTCCTCCAAAAGACAGAAAAGTGATTCCGTGCACCCGCCAAACCCCCACCCCACTGTTTATGAATGGAAAATGATTTACACATGACAACTGATTTCGTTCAAACACTTCAGGAACAAGTGTTTCACTGACGAATTTTGTTCGAACCACAACGCTGTAAATGCTTCACACACGTACTACAAATAATCGCCAACACAACCTAAACACCTAACCTAACCTATATCTATATGTGCAAAATATGCTAATATATTACAATAGTAATATATTTGAGAAATTCTTGTTTTGAATGACCAGCATGGAAAAATTTATGAATGCGTCTGTGGGGTCGACCGCTGGATGGAATGGACTTGGTCTGACGACGGGTTCCTGGTTTTCCAGGACGGGAAGGAGCTGGAGAACCCCTCCGGGCCTGAGGGCCGGAGAGCTGAGGCTTGTGTGGTGGTGCGCGAGGTGACAGGCGGCGGGCGAGGCAGTCTTCTTGTCCCCATCTTCTGAGGTCATGTTCATATTTCATTATCGCCAAGACAGGATATTATATAACACGATGTCTACTAAATACAAATCAATATATCTGCCTCATTTGAGTTTCAAACACCTTAACAAGTGTTCCACAACGCCATGCTGGCCAGTGGCCGGTCAGGGGGCGTTGCTCCCGGTAAAGTTAAGGTGGCTAATGACGCGTCCCGAGTTACAGCTCGTTAATGTAATTACATCTGCGGTTAAATAATTAACTAACACCAGTGTTTATCCAAGACCCTCCTTGTGATGTATAGAGATAATACATAAAGGATCCAATTCTGGCTACTAGGTACGACATATATATATATATATTGTGACGGTAACGTGTTGGTGTTCGGCTGTTCAAAAGCTAGGGGTATGGCCTCGTCACATATAGAAACAAAAAATAGAAAATCTGGAACTTCGTCTGTGGTAAGGTAATGAGAAGACACACAAAACACAAGTAAATTTAACAATGAAATTTTAATTACGTTAAAAAAGCAAAACATGAATAAAATGGACATACAAATTCGTATAATAAAATCAATCAAAATAGTAAGAATAATCAAATGACAAAATGAAAAGTTACGTTAAGACAAGTGAGTAATAACAAGTGAGCAATATACAATCAAATAAGAGGTGCAGGAATATTGGCTTTAAGCTATCACCTCTCTTAGTACACGTAAGCCACAGCTTAGTCTACCAACGAGACGTGTTAACCTGTTGAAAGCATTGGATATTCTGAGGACTGAGGTCGTGGCGGCCCCAGACATCAAGTAGTGTGGTGGGTGGAGTGCAGTTGCAGCTGGACCCGCAGCCAATCAGCGATGAGCAGGCGACAAGACAGGTAGTTTGGTGGTTCGAGGTGGAGCAGGTGTTCCTGGCTGCATACGTTTTGCTCTTCTGGCAAACCTTGGTGTTGTTGTCGTTGTTGGATATTTCTTCCATATTAGTTGTATAGGGATTTATATCGACGTATTTTGGAGGGAAGAGCAGGCTCAATCTCTTGAAGGAGATTATCGTCACAATATATATATATATATATATATATATATATATATATATATATATATATATATATATATATATATATATATATATATATATATGTCGTACCTAGTAGCCAGAACGCACTTCTCACCCTACTATGCAAGGCCAAATTTGCCTAATAAGTCAAGTTTTCATGAATTATTTGTTTTTCGACTACCTAACCTAACTTTTTCGGCTACCTAACCTAACCTATAAAGATAGGTTAGGTAGGGTTGGTTAGGTTCAGTCATATATCTACGTTAATTTTAACTCCAATAAAAAAAAAATTGACCTCATACATAATGAAATGGGTAGCTTTATCATTTCATGAGAAAAAAATTAGAGAAAATATATTAATTCAGGAAAACTTGGCTTATTAGGCAAATCGGGTCGTGCATAGTATGCTGAGAAGTGAGTTCTGGCTACTAGGTACGACATTATATATATATATATATATATATATATATATATATATATATATATATATATATATATATATATATATATATATATATAATATATATATATATATATATATATATATACACACACGTGTGTATATCACGAAAATAAACACGTGATTAAGAATGTGACAATGTCAGACCACGGAGGAAAATGACAGGTGGCGGGCGAGGCAGTCTTCTTGTCCCCATCTTCTGAGGTCATGTTCATATTTCATTATCGCCAAGACAGGATATTATATAACACGATGTCTACTAAATACAAATCAATATATCTGCCTCATTTGAGTTTCAAACACCTTAACAAGTGTTCCACAACGCCATGCTGGCCAGTGGCCGGTCAGGGGGCGTTGCTCCCGGTAAAGTTAAGGTGGCTAATGACGCGTCCCGAGTTACAGCTCGTTAATGTAATTACATCTGCGGTTAAATAATTAACTAACACCAGTGTTTATCCAAGACCCTCCTTGTGATGTATAGAGATAATACATAAAGGATCCATATTTACACCCGTTGATCAGTACTCCCTCCCCCCCCCAGTCATACAGTGGGCCCCAGAGGAGAGCCGGGCGCAGGTCATACAACTATACAGGGAACTGTTGTAATATAATTTCATGTGATAAAATAGTGGAGTGGAGGAGGTTGGTGGCCACCTGGTCGACCTACCTTTGTGGTGCGTTGGTTCGTATTCCTCCGAGACGATTTGGGTAGTTGTGTTGTTCTTTAATGACCATAATTGGTCACTGGGAGTGATTGAGGAGACGGAGGGCAGAGGGTGGTGGGGGCCGGCTTCCTACGGTGGTTACTGGCGGTGTTACAGCCTACATGACCCGCCAGGGGACACACCTAATGACTGTACTGCTGTCTTGTTGAAGCACACACTTGTTACACTTTGTTAAAATGTGTAAACACTTGGGCTTTTACCGGTCATTTGACAACAGTTTGCAGAGGTTGTTACTACAGTTGGTTAGTGTGACGGCCGCCACTAACGAGCGAGGTGTCTCCCAGAGCTCTCAGCGGTGACTGGTCAGGCAGGCCTCCCTCCCGGCCAGACGTCGCCCGGGACATAAACATAACTAATCGTACTATGATCACCTCTATCAACCTCTGACACACGTGTATACTCTACAGTAAAATAGTTTTGGTGTATAAATGATTACGGTGATTTATATGATTTGGTGTAAATGATTTTTGGTGATTAGATGATTACCGGAATACCTACAGAGGAGGCAACCAGCTGGCTATAGTGTTGAAATGACCCGGTTGTTTTGTGCTCGCCAGACGTACGACGCAACTTAATATAAACACTTTGAGGTTCCACTGACGCAGTACCAAGTCACTCATTAAAATATTTGTTAAAAATTTAAATTTTATCGGATCAATCTGGTAGTAGTTTCAAAATAAGCGTCTTTAGATTGCACACAATTTGATACCAAAATCAAAGATATAACATGAAACGATGTCCAAACACTTGAAAGATTATAAATAGGCTTTTGATCCGAATATTAAAATATGTTAAAATTCTATTTATTGTCCTATTATCTTGGGACTAGTTTTAAAATACGCGCCTTTTTATTGCGAACAATTTGATACCAAAATGAAAGACGTAACACGAAATTTGATGTTATCAAATTGAACGAGTTGAACATTAGGTTGCAGTGTACAAATTGATGCTCGTTCACGGGTAACTTTAGGCTTTTCTGCGGGGAGGCACTCCAGCCTTTTGTACATTATATTCACACACATCTCTAGGGAATTTAATTGCGAACACAATGATACCAAAACGAGCGACGTAGCACGAGAATTAAGGTAAAAAAATGGAACGAGAATGCACATGTTACTGATTTTATGCGCTTTTGCCGAATTTAGGCTTTGCTGTTGGGAGTCACGCTAGGCTTTTGGACGTTATATATATACACACCTGTAGAGAATTTAATTGCGAACACAATGATACCAAAACGAGCGACATAGCACGAGAATTAAGGTGAGAAAGCTGGAACGAGTACACACATTTGGGTGTCACCGCGCGCTTACCCGCACGCCGATTGATTGATGAAGATTAAGCCACCCAAGAGGTGGCACGGGCATGAATAGCCCGTAAGTGGTGGCCCTTTTGAGCCATTACCAGTATCAAGAGCTGATACTGGAGATCTGTGGAGGTGCGACTGCACCCTGCGTGACGGGAGATGTCTCCCGGACCAAATGGTGACCAGATGGTGTGCACGCCCAGGCACATGACCCCCATGTCAACCGCGCGTTTCCACGGAACGCGAAAATAACAACTGATCCAGTTGTTATTCTCCGTATTACTTCTTATTGATGATAAACAACATTTGTTCAACTTTTTATTAACACAAGAACATGAATATTGTAAATATTAGTGTAATGTGCTCGTGTGACACTAGAGCACCCAGGTGTGACACTAGAGCGCCCAGGTGTGACACTAGAGCGCCCAGGTGTGACACTAGAGCGCCCAGGTGTGACACTAGAGCGCCCAGGTGTGACACTAGAGCACCCAGGTGTGACACTAGAGCACCCAGGTGTGACACTAGAGCCCCCAGGTGTGACACTAGAGCGCCCAGGTGTCACACTAGAGCGCCCAGGTGTCACACTAGAGCGCCCAGGTGTCACACTAGAGCGCCCAGGTGTCACACTAGAGCGCCCAGGTGTCACACTAGAGCGCCCAGGTGTCACACTAGAGCGCCCAGGTGTCACACTAGAGCGCCCAGGTGTCACACTAGAGCGCCCAGGTGTCACACTAGAGCGCCCAGGTGTCACACTAGAGCGCCCAGGTGTCACACTAGAGCGCCCAGGTGTCACACTAGAGCGCCCAGGTGTCACACTAGAGCGCCCAGGTGTCACACTAGAGCGCCCAGGTGTCACACTAGAGCGCCCAGGTGTCACACTAGAGCGCCCAGGTGTCACACTAGAGCGCCCAGGTGTCACACTAGAGCGCCCAGGTGTCACACTAGAGCGCCCAGGTGTCACACTAGAGCGCCCAGGTGTCACACTAGAGCGCCCAGGTGTCACACTAGAGCGCCCAGGTGTCACACCAGAGCGCCCAGGTGTCACACCAGAGCGCCCAGGTGTCACACCAGAGCTCCCAGGTGTCACACCAGAGCACCCAGGTGTCACACCAGAGCACCCAGGTGTCACACCAGAGCACCCAGGTGTGACACCAGAGCACCCAGGTGTCACACCAGAGCACCCAGGTGTCACACCAGAGCACCCAGGTGTCACACCAGAGCACCCAGGTGTCACACCAGAGCACCCAGGTGTCACACCAGAGCGCCCAGGTGTCACACCAGAGCGCCCAGGTGTCACACCAGAGCGCCCAGGTGTCACACTAGAGCGCCCAGGTGTCACACTAGAGCGCCCAGGTGTGACACTAGAGCGCCCAGGTGTGACACTAGAGCGCCCAGGTGTGACACTAGAGCGCCCAGGTGTGACACTAGAGCGCCCAGGTGTGACACTAGAGCGCCCAGGTGTGACACTAGAGCGCCCAGGTGTGACACTAGAGCGCCCAGGTGTGACACTAGAGCGCCCAGGTGTGACACCAGAGCGCCCAGGTGTGACACCAGAGCGCCCAGGTGTGACACCAGAGCGCCCAGGTGTGACACCAGAGCACCCAGGTGTGACACCAGAGCACCCAGGTGTGACACCAGAGCACCCAGGTGTGACACCAGAGCACCCAGGTGTGACACCAGAGCACCCAGGTGTGACACCAGAGCACCCAGGTGTGACACCAGAGCACCCAGGTGTGACACCAGAGCACCCAGGTGTGACACCAGAGCACCCAGGTGTGACACCAGAGCACCCAGGTGTGACACCAGAGCACCCAGGTGTGACACCAGAGCACCCAGGTGTGACACCAGAGCACCCAGGTGTGACACCAGAGCACCCAGGTGTGACACTAGAGCACCCAGGTGTGACACCAGAGCACCCAGGTGTGACACCAGAGCAACCAGGTGTGACACCAGAGCACCCAGGTGTGACACCAGAGCACCCAGGTGTGACACCAGAGCACCCAGGTGTGACACCAGAGCACCCAGGTGTGACACCAGAGCACCCAGGTGTGACACCAGAGCACCCAGGTGTGACACCAGAGCACCCAGGTGTGACACCAGAGCACCCAGGTGTGACACCAGAGCACCCAGGTGTGACACCAGAGCACCCAGGTGTGACACCAGAGCACCCAGGTGTGACACCAGAGCACCCAGGTGTGACACCAGAGCACCCAGGTGTGACACCAGAGCACCCAGGTGTGACACCAGAGCACCCAGGTGTGACACCAGAGCACCCAGGTGTGACACCAGAGCACCCAGGTGTGACACCAGAGCACCCAGGTGTGACACCAGAGCACCCAGGTGTGACACTAGAGCACCCAGGTGTGACACCAGAGCACCCAGGTGTGACACTAGAGCATCCAGGTGTGACACTAGAGCATCCAAGTGTCTTCCAGTATCTATAAGACACTTGATCCAGAGACTAGGCCTTCCAGTGTCACCCACAGACATATATAATGCCTCTCTCGTCTCTTTTGTAGAGTATATTTTAGTGCCTCAAGACGGAGCCAATAGTCCATGTGGTATATACTGTCTCCGTGCCCAGTGTTCTGTCCCTCTGTCTCACCCACCTGTCCCGCTCTGTCGAGGGGAAGCGAGCACCGAGCAGTACTCAAGACAGGAAAGCACAAATGGTTTAGACAGTGCCAACATTGAGGCGGGATTTTTGGATATAAATGGTTTCCTACTCTATCTTTTATCTCTTTTGGCTGATGTTGGCTCTGTTGATCCTCGTCTTGATGCTGGGCGAGTGAGCATATTCCCAGCACACTCTTGGTGCTTGGGTGGTCAGTTGATGTGTTGGTGGTGTGGAGCCTGGTGCTCCACACGGCTCCAGGTGCTGGCTTCATACTTCTCTGTCACCAGTCACTTCTAATATTATAGTGCTGTTAGTATGGTGTTAGTGGTAAGTAGATTGTGAGGGAGAGAGTAGTGAGGGAGAGAGCAGTGAGAGGGAGAGCAGTGAGAGGGAGAGCGTGGTAGTGAGTGTACGGGTTCAGACAGTCAGAAGGAAACACTGCAGGTTCTGATACATTTATTAAGCTACACTATACAAGATGTGAGAAAATATAAGACTATACCTGTAAATATTAGCCACATAGGGTGGGTTAGTGACCTCCCCTCAAGCCGGTTAATACCGAGGGAACAAGCTTGTTGCGTCACTCACCAGCCAGTTAACTACTAGTCACTATACCTTCCTTCATAGCCAATACCAGCTTTACATAGGCTTAAAAATCGTTTCTCATTTCGGTGAATCAAGTCAATGATAATGACGCTGATATATATATGTTTATTATGTACGTCAGTAGTGGTAGGGGCTACTGCCATGCCGACCACTGCGACACTGACTGGGGACCAGATTCACGAAACAGTTACGCAAGCACTTATGAACGTGTTCATCTTTCCTCAATCTTTGACGGCTTTGGTTACATTTATTAAACAGTTTACAAGCCTGAAAACTTCCCAATCAACAGTTGTTATTGTTATAAACAGCCTCCTGGAACTTGGGAGCTCAATTAACTGTTTAATAATTATAAACAAAGCCGCCAATGATCGAGAAAAGATGTACAGGTTCGTAAGTGCTTGCGTAACTGCTTCGTGACTCTGGTCCCCTGGTGCTGGGAGAGCTTAGGGTTGACGAACTCTCTTGGGCAACACCTGGCTGCTCCTGTACTCCAGGTCTCATGCCTCAAATGCAACACTTCTCAAAACATATACATATATAATTACACATATTATGCACACATGAACCAAAGTAAAGATTATATATATATATATATATATATATATATATATATATATATATATATATATATATATATATATATATATATATATGTCGTACCTAGTAGCCAGAACTCACTTCTCAGCCTACTATGCAAGGCCCGATTTGCCTAATAAGCCTAGTTTTCATGAATTAATGTTTTTTCGACTACCTAACCTACCTAACCTAACCTAACGTTTTCGGCTACCTAACCTAACCTAACCTATAAAGATAGGTTAGGTTAGGTAGGGTTGGTTAGGTTCGGTCATATATCTACGTTAACTTTAACTCCAATAAAAAAAATTGACCTCATACATAATGAAATGGGTAGCTTTATCATTTCATAAGAAAAAAATTAGAGAAAATATATTAATTCAGTAAAACTTGGCTTATTAGGAAAATCGGGCCTTGCATAGTAGGCTGAGAAGTGAGTTCTGGCTACTAGGTACGACATTATATATATATATATATATATATATATATATATATATATATATATATATATATATATATATATATATATATATATAACAACCATATCCAGTCTGCAATTGCAACACACATTTTAAAAACATTTGTTGTATAAAGATCAACAATTACATATACTCGGTGGCTATTAAAACATGTTATGTCTGGCTACGAACAACTTTAATCACGGATACTCACACACAGCGAGATGTATACTCAGCTCCTCTGGGTATACTCACAGTTTACTTTCATCCTGCATAATGTTAAGAACAAAAGTACTCTACATGGTAGACCAGGGGCCATTGGTGGCCTTAATAACCACCAAAAGGTTAATTGGCCTTAAAGTCCATCACCAGACATAGCCACTATCCTGATGCATGAGTGATGTGGCCAACACATACCTGGCCACAATACCAGCATGTGGCCAACACATACCTGGCCACAATACCAGCATGTGGTCAACACATACCTGGCCACAATACCAGCATGTGGCCAACACATACCTGGCCACAACACCAGCATGTGGCCAACACATACCTGGCCACACCACCAGCATGTGGCCAACACATACCTGGCCACACCACCAGCATGTGGCCAACACAAGCCTGGCCACACCACCAGCATGTGGCCAACACATACCTGGCCACACCACCAGCATGTGGCCAACACATACCTGGCCACACCACCAGCATGTGGCCAACACATACCTGGCCACAATACCAGCATGTGGCCAACACAAGCCTGGCCACACCACCAGCATGTGGCCAACACATACCTGGCCACAATACCAGCATGTGGTCAACACATACCTGGCCACAATACCAGCATGTGGCCAACACATACCTGGCCACACCACCAGCATGTGGCCAACACATACCTGGCCACACCACCAGCATGTGGCCAACACATACCTGGCCACACCACCAGCATGTGGCCAACACATACCTGGCCACACCACCAGCATGTGGCCAACACAAGCCTGGCCACAACACCAGCATGTGGCCAACACATACCTGGCCACAATACCAGCATGTGGCCAACACATACCTGGCCACACCACCAGCATGTGGCCAACACATACCTGGCCACACCACCAGCATGCAACACAAGCCTGTGTGGCCAACACATACCTGGCCACACCACCAGCATGTGGCCAACACATACCTGGCCACACCACCAGCATGTGGCCAACACATACCTGGCCACACCACCAGCATGTGGCCAACACATACCTGGCCACACCACCAGCATGTGGCCAACACAAGCCTGGCCACACCACCAGCATGTGGCCAACACATACCTGGCCAGCATGTGGCCAACACATACCTGGCCACAATACCAGCATGTGGCCAACACATACCTGGCCACACCACCAGCATGTGGCCAACACAAGCCTGGCCACACCACCAGTATTGACCCCCTTGTCACGGGGTACACAATAATGAACACTACTGACTATTGTAAGAAGGATCATGTCATAACAAGAGTGTAATACCCTGGGTTAATATTTCCAGGTATATTGTGCATTTACATACAGAGAACGTGACCTCAGACGAGAATTGAAAGAATTGATGACTAACTATCCAGAAAAGGTTACAATGTGTATGTGATAACAACCTTTCATTATCTTGCTAAGATATATTGGTCATGATAGCGTGTGTGTATATATATATATATATATATATATATATATATATATATATATATATATATATATATATATATATATATATATATATATACATATATATATATATAATCTTTGGACAACACCCACCAGTGGGACTCGAACCCAGAAAGCACAACTACCTTCCAGTAGCTGGCATAACTAGTATGCTTTAACCCACTACGCCATCAGACCTTACAAAAGAAGTAGATAGTTCGAGATATATATATCTCAAACATCTCTACCTCCCGAAGGCACCAGATGAGTGAGGGGTCAGTCTGCAATTTTCGTCAAGCCACTGTCAATGTGAGAGAACTCGTGTCCAGCTTATATCTGGACACGAGTTCTCTCACATTGACAGTGGCTTGACGAAAATTGCAGACTGACCCCTCACTCATCTGGTGCCTTCGGGAGGTAGAGATGTTTGAGATATATATATCTCGAACTATCTACTTCTTTTGTAAGGTCTGATGGCGTAGTGGGTTAAAGCATACTAGTTATGCCAGCTACTGGAAGGTAGTTGTGCTTTCTGGGTTCGAGTCCCACTGGTGGGTGTTGTCCAAAGATTGTTTATCTTCACTTGTGGTTTATGCAAGTATATATATATATACATATATATATACATATATATATATATATATATAAATATATATATATATATATATATTATATATATATATATATATATATATATATATATATATATATATATATATATATATATATATATATTTTTTTAATCTATACATAGCCTATGTAGTATAGAAATTTGGTATATTTTGTATGCAAGGTTAAGGCAGTTCGACACATTCCATGGTGATATATTTCTATGCAGATTTCATATCATGTGACTAATTTACATATATAACTTAACATGTACCTTTTTCCTTCGTGGATGATAGTGGGTTAAGAGCGCAAAATAGTGGTGGTGGGGAGACAGATGGCGGCAGCGTTTGTGCACCAGTTAGCACACACGGTGACAACCACATCTGTCCTCTGATATAAACTTTATAAATATTTATATTTATAAAGAATTATTTGCTCTGCCAGCGGTGAATTATCACTGATTGACCGGTCAGACAGGCTGACAGTGTCCGGTCAGACAGGCTGACAGTGTCCGGTCTGACAGGCTGACAGTGTCCGGTCAGACTGGGTGACAGTGTCCGGTCAGACTGGGTGACAGTGTCCGGTCAGACTGGCTGACAGTGTCCGGTCAGACAGGCTGACAGTGTCCGGTCAGACAGGCTGACAGTGTCCGGTCAGACTTGTCTCTGTCACGCATTCACATGGCCTGAAGTAACCCTAACAACATCTAAAGGAATACAGAAAACAGGAGAGAATAAAGAGACGATACCAAGGAGAGGGCTGTACCATCAGACCAAACAATACACATTATACTAAACTATGACAACGAGGGGTAGACGAGGGATTGAGCCAAGACCAGCACTGGGCCCAGGGATCAACCACCCAAAGTATGAAGTCTAAGTTCATTTTCAGAATAAAACTATCGGGAAGTAATGGGTTTGGGAAGTGTCCCAAAGTAGGTTGGTGCCACTGTTCACGACCCACACACCTGGGGGTCACACACCTGGGGTCACACACCTGGGATCACACACCTGGGATCACACAGGTTCAAAGGTTTGCCACCAGACTAGTACCCGAGCTGAGAGGTATGAGCTACGAGGAGAGACTACGGGAATTGAACCTCACTTCGTTGGAAGACAGAAGAGTTAGGGGGGACATGATCACCACATTCAAGATTCTCAAGGGAATCGACAGGGTTGATAAAGACACGCTATTTAACACAAGGGGCACACGCACTAGGGGACACAGGTGGAAACTGAGTGCCCAAATGAGCCACAGAGATATTAGAAAGAACTTTTTTAGTGTCAGTGGTTGACAAATGGAATGCATTAGGAAGCAATGTGGTGGAGGCTGACTCCATACACAGTTTCAAGTGTAGATATGATAGAGCCCAATAGGCTCAGGAACCTGTACACCTGTTGAGTGACGGTTGAGAGGCGGGACCAAAGAGCCAGAGCTCAACCCCCGCAAGCACAACTAGGTGAGTACAACTAGGTGAGTACCTGTGGACAAACACCTGGGGTCACAGACCTGGGGCAACACACCTGGGGCCACACCTGGGGTCACAGACCTGGGGTCACACACCTGGGGTCACACACCTGGGGTCACACACCTGGGGTCACACACCTGGGGTCACACACCTGGGGTCACACACCTGGGGTCACACACCTGGGGTCACATCTGTGGACACACCTGGGGTCACGCACCAGGGGCCACACCTGGGGTCACACACCAGGGGCCACACCTGGGGTCACACACAGGGCCACACCTGGGGTCACACACCAGGGGCCACACCTGGGGTCACACACCTGGGGTCACACACCCTGGGGTCACACACCAGGGGCCACACCTGGTGTCACACACCTGGGGTCACACACCAGGAGCCACACATGGGGTCACACACCTGGGGCCACACACCTGGGGTCACACATGGGGACACACACCTCACACACCAGGGGTCACACACCTGGGGTCACACACCTGGGGCCACACACCAGGGGTTACACAGGAGCCACCATCTGGGGTGGGGCCCACACACCTGGGGTCACACACCTGGGGTCACACACCTGGGGTCACACACCTGGGGTCACACACCTGGGGTCACACACCACTTACATCTCTCCAAAGTAATTACAACAACTACTGACCTCCAATCACTCTACTTGATACAGACATCCTTGTAGCGCTCTGATACTCGCAATTATATTCTTTAATAATTACAAACTTATTGGTCCTAGTGATGAGACGTGCCACGGTGGCCACTGGTCAACACCCTGGCCACTGGTCAACACCCTGGCCACTGGTCAACACCCTGGCCACTGGTCAACACCCTGGCCACTGGTCAACACCCTGGCCACTGGTCAACACCCTGGCCACTGGTCAACACCCTGGCCACAGGTCAACACTGGCCACAGGTCCACACCTGGCCACAGGTCAACACCCTGGCCACTGGTCAACACCCTGGCCACAGGTCAACACCCTGGCCACAGGTCAACACCCTGGCCACAGGTCAACACCCTGGCCACAGGTCAACACCCTGGCCACAGGTCAACACCCTGGCCACTGGTCAACACCCTGGCCACAGGTCAACACCCTGGCCACTGGTCAACACCCTGGCCACTGGTCAACACCCTGGCCACTGGTCAACACCCTGGCCACTGGTCAACACCCTGGCCACTGGTCAACACCCTGGCCACTGGTCAACACCCTGGCCACTGGTCAACACGCTGGCCACTGGTCAACACGCTGGCCACTGGTCAACACGCTGGCCACAGGTCAACACCCTGGCCACAGGTCAACACCCTGGCCACTGGTCAACACCCTGGCCACTGGTCAACACCCTGGCCACTGGTCAACACCCTGGCCACAGGTCAACACCCTGGCCACTGGCCAACACCCTGGCCACTGGTCAACACCCTGGCCACTGGCCAACACCCTGGCCACTGGTCAACACCCTGGCCACTGGTCAACACCCTGGCCACTGGTCAACACCCTGGCCACTGGTCAACAGAGATCTCCTCAAACAACAGCCATTCCTTACCATCCACCGTGAAGATGACCCTTGACCTCAGCAGCGGGCGACCCGCACCCGAACTTCTTCAACTCGTCCCGACGATCGTTATAAAGTTGTTTACATGATAAGAATATTACAAGTGCATAAAGGAAGCAAGGGAGAGGTCGCCGGAGGCTGGTTGGCAGCGTGACCCGGGGTCAACACTTCCTCTCCCACGGGTATGTGTAGTGTGGCTTGCTAGCCTGGGTAGCGTGTGGCTTGCTAGCCTGGGTAGCGTGTGGCTTGCTAGCCTGGGTAGTGTGTGGCTTGCTAGCCTGGGTAGCGTGTGGCTTGCTAGCCTGGGTAGTGTGTGGCTTGCTAGCCTGGGTAGTGTGTGTGTGGCTTGCTAGCCTGGGTAGCGTGTGGCTTGCTAGCCTGGGTAGCGTGTGGCTTGCTAGCCTGGGTAGCGTGTGGCTTGCTAGCCTGGGTAGTGTGTGTGTGGCTTGCTAGCCTGGGTAGTGTGTGGTTTGCTAGCCTGGGTAGTGTGTGGTTTGCTAGCCTGGGTAGTGTGTGGCTTGCTAGCCTGGGTAGTGTGTGGTTTGCTAGCCTGGGTAGTGTGTGGTTTGCTAGCCTGGGTAGTGTGTGGTTTGCTAGCCTGGGTAGTGTGTGGCTTGCTAGCCTGGGTAGTGTGAGGCTTGCTAGCCTGGGTAGTGTGAGGCTTGCTAGCCTGGGTAGTGTGTGTCTTGCTAGCCTGGGTAGTGTGTGTCTTGCTAGCCTGGGTAGTGTGTGTGGCTTGCTAGCCTGGGTAGTGTGTGTGGCTTGCTAGCCTGGGTAGTGTGTGTGGCTTGCTAGCCTGGGTAGTGTGTGTGGCTTGCTAGCCTGGGTAGTGTGTGTGGCTTGCTAGCCTGGGTAGTGTGTGTGGCTTGCTAGCCTGGGTAGTGTGTGTGTGGCTTGCTAGCCTGGGTAGTGTGTGTGGCTTGCTAGCCTGGGTAGTGTGTGTGGCTTGCTAGCCTGGGTAGTGTGTGTGGCTTGCTAGCCTGGGTAGTGTGTGTGGCTTGCTAGCCTGGGTAGTGTGTGTGGCTTGCTAGCCTGGGTAGTGTGTGTGGCTTGCTAGCCTGGGTAGTGTGTGTGGCTTGCTAGCCTGGGTAGTGTGTGTGGCTTGCTAGCCTGGGTAGTGTGTGTGGCTTGCTAGCCTGGGTAGTGTGTGTGGCTTGCTAGCCTGGGTAGTGTGTGTGGCTTGCTAGCCTGGGTAGTGTGTGTGGCTAGCCTGGGTAGTGTGAGTGGCTTGCTAGCCTGGGTAGTGTGTGTGGCTTGCTAGCCTGGGTAGTGTGTGTGGCTTGCTAGCCTGGGTAGTGTGTGTGGCTTGCTAGCCTGGGTAGTGTGTGTGGCTTGCTAGCCTGGGTAGTGTGTGTGGCTTGCTAGCCTGGGTAGTGTGTGTGGCTTGCTAGCCTGGGTAGTGTGTGTGGCTTGCTAGCCTGGGTAGTGTGTGTGGCTTGCTAGCCTGGGTAGTGTGTGTGGCTTGCTAGCCTGGGTAGTGTGTGTGGCTTGCTAGCCTGGGTAGTGTGTGTGGCTTGCTAGCCTGGGTAGTGTGTGTGGCTTGCTAGCCTGGGTAGTGTGTGTGGCTTGCTAGCCTGGGTAGTGTGTGTGGCTTGCTAGCCTGGGTAGTGTGTGTGGCTTGCTAGCCTGGGTAGTGTGTGTGGCTTGCTAGCCTGGGTAGTGTGTGTGGCTTGCTAGCCTGGGTAGTGTGTGTGGCTTGCTAGCCTGGGTAGTGTGTGTGGCTTGCTAGCCTGGGTAGTGTGTGTGGCTTGCTAGCCTGGGTAGTGTGTGTGTCTTGCTAGCCTGGGTAGTGTGTGTGTCTTGCTAGCCTGGGTAGTGTGTGTGGCTTGCTAGCCTGGGTAGTGTGTGCTAGCCTGGGTAGTGTGTGTGGCTTGCTAGCCTGGGTAGTGTGTGTCTTGCTAGCCTGGGTAGTGTGTGTCTTGCTAGCCTGGGTAGTGTGTGTGGCTTGCTAGCCTGGGTAGTGTGTGGCTTGCTAGCCTGGGTAGTGTGTGTGGCTTGCTAGCCTGGGTAGTGTGTGTGGC